AAATGCTTGCTACTTCTCAGTTCAAAATATTTTGTCTTCCCGTCTGATTTCTAAGAACCTGAAAATTAAAGTATACAAAACAATAATCTTGCCTGTTGTTTTGTATGGGTGCGAAACATGGTCTCTCACTCAGAGGGAGGAACACAGATTGCAGGTGTTTGAGAATCGGGTGTTGAGGAGGATATTTGGGCCTAAGAGGGAAGACGATGGGGCGTGGAGAAAACTGCACAATGACGGGCTTAAAAATCTGTACTGCTCCCCCAGTCTTGTGAGGGTGATTAAGTCGAGAAGAGTGAGATGGTCTGGGCATGTAGCGCGCATGGATGGGACAAGAGGTGTGCACTGGGTACTGGTTGGGAAACCTGAAGGGAAGAGACCGCTGGTGAGACCTAGACGTAGATGGGAGGATAATCTCAGGCGGGATCTATGGGAGATAGGAGTTGAAGGAAACTGGATTTTGTTGGCCCAGGACAGGGTCCGGTGGAGGGCTTTGGTTAATTCGGTGATGAACCTTCGGGTTCGGTAAGCCATCTAGTTAGTTAGTTAGAAGAAAAGTATAAACAGGGACAAAAATATGTACAGTAATAGTTCTGCATAATTAGGAGTGAAGAAAATTGTTTGATAAAGCAAGAATTTCATTTTTGTGTTTTTAATGTGATCTGAACTATGTTCAATTGGGAAAATTATTTTTAACTGCTGTATGTAATAAGAGCTTGACACTTTTAAATAAGTGGGTTATTCAACATCAGGAATAAATATGTTTTCTTAAAGTAATTAATCTTATCCTATTCCATTCTTTTCTAAGCAGTTGAGTCCTTCATTAAATGCAAGGGGAAAAAAACCCTTTCCATATTTCTAGAGCACACAAACCCACTACTTAGATATCTTATCAGTACTCCACAATAAAAATAATTTTGTGTGCATCATATGAACCATGTTCAATAATCTTTATAATTGAAAACTAATTTAATATAGGTCAAACATGAAACCATTTACCTAATTTATTATTGGTTTAACTTCCACTTTCATTCAAAAGTTTATGAAATAGTTCCTTTCAGCTTGATCTAAGCTTACATTCTGATGCAGCAAATTAAAGTTTTAATTTCAGCCATTCCTGTATGCCAAAGATTTTTTGACATTTTTAAGTTAACACATTTATTCAGAATACCATTTCATTACTATACATGGATGAAAATTACATAAGGAGAATAAATTTAACATTGGTCATATGTGTGGCATATAGATTATGTTGGATACTAATGTCTTGAGCTATTACTATACCATATTTGGTCAGAGAATGTGCTAAAGAATCCAAAGTCATGGGCACTTCAATACTATACCTTGGCCTTTTGTTCTGGAGGCATAACAATTTCTGGGTCCAAGTTTATAACTGGAAACTGAAGCTCATTCAGAGCTGATTGTACTTCTGGAACATAAGATAATCCTGCACCATCCAGCAACCCAAGCTTTACTGCTGAGGGTATGAAGAAAGTATTGTTAACTCCTTTTAATGATGGTAAAAATTTCCCAAGTTGTGTTACAGCAGCTCTTAACGTTCCACAGGTATCAAAAGCATGAATTCCTGTATAAACCAACAACAATAAAGTGGTTTACAATGTGCAGTCCATGAATCACAAAGTTCAAGGACTTAGATGTCATTACTGTCTATACTGGAGGTAGTAGTTGTCTAATTTTAATAGTATGGAAAGGCTTAAAAATTATCATTTAGCCAAGAGTTTCTTATGGAATAAATATATAGAGAGAAAATGTAAAATTAAAATATTTAACATGTATCTTAAAAAGATAATATTGTACGATTCATTTCAAAGGGTATGGTGTTGCTGTGGGCTGTGACATGCTAGCTGCCATGTATTGCACTTACTGAATGAGAATTTGCATTTTGAAATTGTCTATAAAAACACATCTGCAATTTGTTGTAAGAGTTGCCTCAATATTTAAATGCATTTCCCAGTGATATACTGTACTCGATGACAGTAGCTGACCATATTTTTCACCATTATAACATTCTAGATTTTGATTACTAAAGCCTACAGCAATGCTTGGTTCCTTTCCATAAACTTCTACTTAAGGTCTCTGAAGAAATAAAATCTACATATAACCACTGCCATCTACTGATTATTTATTCTCCACATACAGTCCAAAGAGTCCGCAGTAAATTATTATGCTTCACATTCTACAGCAATGCTCTGCTGTAAATATAAGGACATGTTTTATTCTTCAGTTAATTGTTCAAAGACGACTTCTAAATATTATTCACAGTGTTTCAATAGGTTTTATTAATATATGTTTTGGGCAGCAAGACATTTTATAGGCAAAACACCAGGTTTTATGCCACTTCCTTGTCTTTATGCTAGAGATATTTCTTCTCTTTCATGACTACTCAAACATTGCCAGGATATTACAGCAGTGCTCCGAAGAACACTGCAGTATTTGCAATAAACCACTCATTTGTGAGGGGAGAAATATATGTATCTATGCAATTAAATATGTAACAAAATATTTGGAGGAAATAGGGGCTACTTGGAAAATTGGTATAAGTGAGAAAATTAATCTCGCCAGATTTTACAGAAAAATATGAGGTTTGTTCTAATGAAACTTGTCAGCTGCACTGTTAGAAAAATTGACTGATCATAGGTAATCACGTGCACACACCTGCAGTCAACCTTGAGAAGTGCAGCAGAATGAGAGCATTAGATTGAACCAAAGTGCCTCTTCAGAAAACAATCCAATGGGGGTTGGTTCTAGTTCTATTTGTCATTGGTTCCCTCAGCGATCCCTCCTTATGGACATTGGGCATATGTTAAACTTGATATTCACAAAGTAATATAAATACAAATTTTATTTCTTAACAACACAATAGAAAATAAATGTAAACTTATAACTTCAACCAACATGCCCTTGCTTCAAACCTCACCACACAATCAAACAATAAAAAATAAGCTCTTTTGGCCTCAGTAGCTACTCATTCCTGGTGAAGTTAACCACTGAACCAGTATCCAAAAAATAAAATTCAACAAAGACGTAGCTACGCTAAATCCTGTGGAACACTCCAGGACACCAACAGCCCAAATCATCCTCCGCCGGCGCTTCAAGCGAGCTAGCAAGAATCTTCTAGATACTGCAACCCCCTCCAATACCCCCAACCACCATCCTGCATCAACACTGCACAGAGACAGATACTGCGCTGCCCTTCTAGTTCGACCAATTCGCTCGCATTACTTCTCATCACTCACGAGCCGACGGGTTGGCTCAAGAGCAAAGAGGAACAGTGTGATGCTTAAATTCCAGTATTACAGGTGTAGAATCCATTCAAACAGAATTAGTAAACTTCTGATGTAGGTGTCTAAAAACCTTGATATCACCATCAGTACGCAGAACTATTGTAAAACCCTCTGAGACCTTCACACCACCATCAACATAAAGCATCCTGTTATGCTCAAGAAGCATTTCATCATGTTACATGACCGTACCCATCTCCATGTGGTCCACACTGTGCTGAATGCACTGGAAGATTTTGGACCATCTGCCATATAGCCAGACCTCTCACATTGAGTGGAGTCCTCATAAAAACACTAAAGATTCAGGTTAGATAAAGATGTCAAGACAGTGGTGGTGCAGTGGCTCCAGCAGCAGCCGAGGGAGGGGAACCATCAGCTGGTATATCAATGGGATGCCTGATTCATTGGTCATGGGGACTACTTTTAACAGCCTAATTTTCTTTGCACAACAGTCCCCAAGTGGGTTTCATTTGAACAATTCAATTAATTTTTTAAAGTGTTTGCCAATAACAAGGAGCCAATGACAGGCAAACACTGATAATTCAATTAAATTAAATTAATAATAATAATAATTCAATTAATAATAATAAAAAACAAAAAGAAAACAACTAAATATATAAATGAATATACAATCAAACATTCCCATATTGAGCATAACAAGCTTCATATAATAATGTGGATTAGCTTTAGCTTCTCATGATGGGTTTCTGTTTTCCAGCAATGATTTCTTTCTGGTTCTATAATACCCTGGTAATAATTTCAACTTACAAGTAATCTGCAGCTATTCCTACTATCTAGGAATGTCTTAAACATTAATAATTTAGTATAATAATCATTACCAATCATTATATATTTAAAATATAAACTGTTCTTACACATTGAATTTTAATCCAGACCACCAATTTCTGTTCCATTTCATTGTCACATACATTCCTAAAAACTGATGAAATATGATAATAGTTATCTCTTCAGCTTACAGTGAGCTTTAGATGAAATTCATTTACTAAACTACTGCCAATATTTTCTCACTTTACTATAATACCTTTAATTCAAGCCTCCAATTGAAAATAATCTTTTACCAATTAATTTTTAACTTCTTAAGGTTATACTGACATTAGTAAAACAGAAGAAGGTTTAACAATAACAAAAGAAATGTGAATAACAATCACTGCTTATCTACTTACCGATAGAAACACCTGGCAGAAAAGCTGAACCCGTCCTTTGATTCAAGGCAGATAACATCCACCTTATTGCCTCAAATTTTACAACGCCCTTTAGAGTAGGATAACCACATCCAAACACATCAGGTTCACATTCACATACTTGTATTATCACACCTGCAGGAGCATAAAGTAGTATTTTAAATGTATACATAAATAATTTTTATCCTTTTAACTTAAAGTAAAAGAACATAGTAAAAACATATGACCCTTGTCATGTTTAACATAATAAAACATATTTCTCCTGTTTTATCCAAATCAAAAAGAAGGACGAGAAGAACCCTCCTTGAATGATGACCATAGAATACAATGGGATGAAGTACAAATCATCTATAAAGAAGACAGAATTACTATAAAATTGAAAGCAGCATTATTCATAAAAAAGAGGTCATTAGCCAACCAAGCACAAATATGAACTCTATATTTCTTTATCTATTACATCACAAGGAGTAACTGTTATAGAAGCACAATAATGACCATTTCTTGACCAACCTGGTGGTCTAGTGGTCATCATACTAATCTAGTATTTAAACAGTTCTGAGTTTGATCCAACCATCACCGCTAAACTGACTCAAAAAAGTATTTATAAATCAGTCACTATAATGATGACCAGTCACATGATTACAGGAGTAGACCCATTTTACAAAATGTCATGTAGCCTATGTCATGAACAGTGTACAACATTAGTACATTATAACAGAGTATTTCCCTTCCCTCACATGATTAAAATATTTCAGCTTTGCTGCCCTGATGATGGAGGCAGCAAGGACCTCTTAAATGTCAGTAAACTTCTACCAGACTACACAGTGCAACAACCCAGAAGACAGCAATCTTCTGAATATTGACAGTAACAGAACAGGCATGACTTTCATATTGCAGGGAGATAAATGTTAATGCATAACAGCTTTCATTATCGTATTCGGTTGAACAATAAATTATCCGGCATATATATTTCTATATAAGAAGTTCATATTTAACTTTAATTTTTAATTTTATCTTTAAAAATAGCTATGTATGGTATTCATGCAGGCTTATGATATTTAGTTAAATAAACGTATCATTTTCTATCACCATCTACTCACCTATAATTGTATTTGCTTCTTGTTGAACAGTGACGTCTTGGATACAACCTCCTATATAGATGGTCATCATTATTGTGGTTAGTGTTATAACATTGAAGATGCGATGCCAGAGCTTCAAAAATCCCATCGCCAAGAAACACACTGTAAAATAAACATGTGATGAAACAATCTTTCATTGAGAACCAAAAACTGTGAACACAAAAGTGAGAAATATGTGTGTAGCTCTGCGTGTTCAAAATGGTTTTGTATGTAACAATTCAATTACATAAAACAAAATTTTCATCATTCATTAAATACTAGATACTTTTAATTTACCATACATATGCACTCCTACTCACAAAAGTAAACATATCTTTTTATCATTTAATTTTAACTTACTTTGTAGGTAATAATATTAGAATTCCAAAACACTTGCAAAATCCACTCTGTTATTAGATTAAGTTTCTCCACTTTCTTGATAACTTTTGCTTTTCCTGAACCAGATACAGTGGTTGTATATTCCTCATGTTTAAAAACATTTACACTCAGTTAAAAACAGTGAAGTAATTCCTAAATAAGTCAAGTAACAGAAATAGATAATACTTCATGAGCCAGGAGAGCAGAGAAAGAAAATTAGTATCCACAAATTGGATGCATAAGATTCAGGTCCAAGTACAGACATGTTTTTTCTCTTTACCACTACATCCAGACCAGTCTCCTAGCCAATGGAAATACGACAGAAATTCATTTTATGTGCAATCATGGCATACTGCATATTCAAAATTCCAAATTTATACTGCTAATGAAATGTAGCATAATTTACATCCAAGAAGAGCAAGCAAATGAAATGACTAGAATGAGCTGTCAACTGTTAAAGAGATATACAATGAAGAATAGTAACACATTTCTCTTTGCAGAAGTTTTTTAATATAACATACAACAGTACATTGAATTTTCAGCATAATTAAATGAACTAATAGTAAAGAATTCCAGACCAGATAAATGGAGATAATCTGAAAAAATGTATGATGTGACGCTAGTAGACATTTCAAAAGAAAAAGGGGGAATATCTGTAAGACGAAATTAATGAGCTTGCAACACATAGTAAGGTTAGAAACTTATACAGAGTTATAAAAGAATTTAAGAAGGGTGACCAACGTAGAAATAATTTGGTAAAAGATGAAAGTAGCATAAATGACTTTAAGAATGGTTACCAACCTAGAAGTAACTTGGTAAAAGATGAAAATTTTATAAATGAATTTAATAAGGGTTGCCAACACAGACGCAACTTGGTAAAGGATGAAAATTGTGATCTGCTTGCAGAATCCCTCATTTTGAACAGATGGAAGAATTACTTCTTTCAGTTAACGAACTTACTTAGAGTTAGTGATGCTTGGCAGACGGAAATACATACAGCTGAGCCATAATTACCCGAGCCTAGTCCTTTTGAGGTTGAAACTGCTACTTAAAAGTTTAAAAGGTATAAATCGCCAGGTAGTGATCACGTTCCGACAGATATTATTGAAGCAGGAGGTGAAACATTACTTTCTGAGATCCACCTTCCCATCCCATATTCCTTAATTTCATCACTCTAATATTAATAAGAAATAAAATTACATGTCTTGTCATTATGTAATTTTCTAGATTCTGCTGATAGTTGCGCTCTCTCTCTCTCTGAAGTCCATACAATTTCTCTGTCAGTCTGTTATCAAATACCCAGTCTTACGATTTATCTTTAGGCAGACAGACCAGCGAAAAGCCAACAAGTTGGACTCATCCGACTCGGGAGGTTCGTTGGAACCTGCCACCAGGCGCACGGGCCAGTGTCCGGAGCCGGGTCCGCGCAGGCGAACGCACTGGCCGCCCAAGGCCGGATGGGCAAACCCACCGCCTCCACGGGCGGTGGACTGGGGCGGTTAATTGGAACCCTCGCCGGCACCATGGCCAGTGTCCGGAGCCGGGACCCCGCGCAGTCGAAGGGGCTGCGCGCCCAAGGCCGGAGCTTATCACAATGAAATGGACAGTTAAAATTATGCCCGCTGGTTTGAAACAAAGCTAATACTAAATTTACCATCAAACTTCTTTCTGGTCATTGATAACGCCTCGTATCACAACACTCAGACAGACAAACCACCGACATCTAACTCAAAAAAGGACGAAATGAAAGCCTGGCTATTGGAAAGAAACATCCCATTTTGTGACATGTCGAAAGCTCAACTGTACGATTTAATCAAATTAAATAAGCCAAAGCACAAATGTTATGAGACTGGTCAGATTTTAGCAGACAAAGGACATACTTTGCTGAAACTTCCGCTATACCATCCCGATTTAAACCCCATTGAACTTATCTGGACAGATGTAAAACAATAGGTTGCAAGCAAGAACACAACGTTTAAAATTAAGGACGTCGAGCGACTGTGTTGTCAGAGATTAGAAGAAATTGGGCAAGAGGAATGGGAGAATGTATGTCGGCATGTGGAAAAACTGGAACAAATTTATTATGAGCAAGAAGGTATAATCGAAGATGCTATTGAACGCATTATAATTGAAGATAATGGAGCGGACAGCAGCGGCAGCAGTGATGAATCGAGTGATATGTCAGAAAGCGAAGGTTTGTCAGGAGTGGAAGAGGACTAAAGAGTTGTGAAGAAGATAAAATTATCTAACACTCTGCAGTGTTAATTTCCTAGTGATGTGTAGTGTAATGAAATAGACTTTCCTGCTATATGTGCCATGGTGATGTTTCATTTTATTTGGAGTGTACTGTACGCGGCCTGCTGCCATCCCTTACAGTAAACCTCTGGTATACGAGGTGCGATCGAAAAGTTTCCAGACTGCGCGTATAAAAACCCGTACACTTATCTCAGGTATTAAATTCATCCATCACCCTCGAAGTAGTTCCCCTGGGAGTGAACACAACGATCCCAGCGC